TAAGTTCTGACAGCGAGTCGCCTGACAGCCTCCGTAGCAACAGAAGGTCCGTCCAGGCTTCTGCCCGGCGGGCACTTGGCGCAAATCCGTCGGCTCTTCTGGCGTCCAGATACCGCTTCTCGTTAGGGACTTGGTCTGTTCTACACTTGGGCCAGACCCATGTTTTTTCACTTCGGTACCTAACGCACTGTCCGTGAGACTTGACCGTTTGACACCGACTACATTGTACCCATAAAAGAAAACTGGGCCCTCCCAGATGTGACCCTTCTTGGTCCGCGACCATAGGCAAAGTACAGAAGAAACAGGGACTTAGATGCGTTTTTGGGGACGAGTAGGGACTAGACGAGAGAGCAAGGGAGTTAAATGAGGGCAAAGAGATCGCGTCTGCCATCTCCGGCGAAACCTCCATTCCGGACTCAGGCGTCGTTCTTGCGCAGCACGTGTAGCTCTCCGTAGTGCGGTTTCGTTGCCACGACTTCTGGCCTCCACGGAATGAGTCGCTTGTTGGCGGGACACTTGTTGGGCGGCAGGAGGCGTGTCAATCCATCGGCGTTACCATGCTGCCGCGTGGCACGGTGATGGATGTCGAAGTCATAGTATTGAAGACGCACCGCCCACCTGCCCAGCGTCCCCGTGTAGTCCATGTTGTTGCGTAGGGACAGCAGCGGCTGATGATCCGTTACCAGCACGAATTTTTGGCCGTCAAGATACGGGCGGAAATGCTGGATCCCCCACACCACCGCCATACATTCACCTTTGCACGCTTCGTAATTAGCCTGCGCCTCGCTCAGCGTCTTGGACGCATACTCAATGACGTGATCCCTTCCGTCCACCCCGTGCTGAGTCCGCACCGCCGACATCGCCTGAGGCTGCCAGTCTGTCTACAACGCGAATGGTCTTGTCGTGTCGAGGCGCGCCAATACAGGAGCAGATGTCAGAGCCTCCCTCAACGCCTGAAACGCCGCTTCACATTCCGGCGTCCAGATTAGCTGTTGCTCTTTCTTCAGCAGGTTCGTGAGGGGCTTCGCTATACCGGCGAACCACTTGATGAAGCGTCGGGCATAGGATGCCAGCCCTAGAAAAGCCCGAACCTGGGTGAGTGTGACCGGCGCCGGGGCTTCTTGAACTGCTGCCACCTTCCTCAAATACGGTTTTAGTCCATCGACTGTGACGATGTGCCCCAAGAATGAGATCTCCGACAAGAAGAACTCGCTTTTCTCCAAGGCCACTTTGAGCCCCGCATCTTTTAGTGCATGCAAAACCCACTCAATGTGTTCCACGTGGTACTCGTGTGTTTTTGAAAAGACCAGAATATCATTCATGTACACAATCACGCAGAAATTGATCAGGGGCTGGGTGAGTCGGGTTTTGTTAACGAACTCGGCGAAGGCCATATTCATGGCCCGCTGAAACGTTGYAGGGGCGTTACAAATTCCCATGGGACACCGGACCCATTGCCACGTGCCTTCAAATAGGACAAAAGCGGTTTTGGGTCGGTCCTCCGGTCGGACTGNGGACCCATTGCCACGTGCCTTCAAATAGGACAAAAGCGGTTTTGGGTCGGTCCTCCGGTCGGACTGCGACATGGTGAAAACCGTGTCGGATATCGTACTTGAAAAAGACTCGAGCGGCCCCGATAGTATCCAACAAATCGTCGATTTGCGGCAAGGGATACACATCTTTGGTAGTGATAGCGTTCAATTTCCGGTAGTCGATACATACTCGGACCGAACCATTTCGTTTTGGCACGAGGACCACGAGAAAAAAACATGGTCCCAGCGATGGTTCGACCCGCCCCAACCGCTCGAATTCCCGTACCCTCTCCAACGCCAGCTGTCTTTCTTTAAGGGAATATCGATACGGTTGGCAATGTATCAGGCGTGATCCCCGGTATCAATCGCGTGCTGTATCAAAGGGGTTAGCCCTATGTCGTGGTCCTGAATACTAACAGCCTAAGGATAGGCCCATATAATTGCCAGGAGGAGGCGTCGGTATTCTTCCGGAACACGGGCTGGTAACTGAACTTCTACGGTTCCCCCAGGAAGGGAGACCGTCATCGTAACTGTGGGGACCGCCGCGTTGGCATCGGGCGAGGCCCTAAACAAAGAGTTGTCGGTTTTCGCCGAAAGGACAGTCGCAATAAGTGGACTGTCCGCCGGGCTCATCGGCTCACTTTCCATGTCACTGTCACTATCCAGTTCGGGTTCGGCCGAGGGTTCTACCGAAAAGGCCTGCGTGAGTTCCCTCGGTCCCCACCGATATTCCCTTGTTCGGGGTTGAAACGACACCCCCTCTTTCAAAAGTATCGCGACTTTCTCATTTGTGAGTAGGGGCCGTGGAGGTATAAAAGATAAATCGCACAGCCCCCTCTACTCGGTAAATCGTTAAGGTAGGTGGTCCGTCCTGAGATATAAGGACGCAGGGGTTCCGAAAGGTCTGCTATTCGGGACACCCTCAGCAGGGGTTCCCCCTGCACCACGGAGGAGAACGTGTGCGACCGGTTGGACTCGCTCCAAACTATTTCCAGTGGTTCTCGCCGCCAAGAATGGCGCCACCGATCCTGAACTTGGATCGGATACCGGTCCGGTGCATCAGCCTTGTCAGTTTCCGTCGATAGTTTATTTTCGCCTGGTGACAGGCGTCGGATAATGTTGATTTGATGGCCTTTCGTGGTGAGTCGAGGCGCCGGCTGGATGCGCATGCACACCGCCAGTCTCATTGGTATCGTTTGGGGTTTGGGGTGGGCCGATGTGAGCACCACCTTACAGTTGTCAAAGTGCATTCGCGCTCCAACTGCCGCCTGCCACGGAATGCCTAGCAGAACATCATACGCCTGTACATCCAGCACGATTACGTCGCAGAAACAATGCACCCGCCCCAACCGTATAGGCACGTTCGTTATTCGCCCTTTATAATGAATACTGTCTTCCGTAGCGGATATGTACAGTTCATCCGGTCGGAAGGGCTGAACCTGTCCTTCCCTTCCCAACTGTTTCGTCAATCTCCAAGAAATGGCGACCGCCGACGATCTCGAGTCTAGGATGGCGGCCGAGGGATTTCCCCAGACCTCGCAGTCACACTCAACGCTTTTCAAGGTTATAGGATAGGCTCGGAGGAATACCTCGG